CAGGAAAGCAAGATGAAGGAAGAGAATTCCAAAGAACTGATGTTCGAGGAAAAAAACTAGAAGAATAAGAGTTTTTGAAGCACTTAGGAACAGTCACAGAAAAAGGATGAGACTTAATTGAATGGCGAGTAACACGAGAATGAATTTTAGTAGATGGCACAAGGGACGCTAGCTCTTTAGAGCAGTGCCCATTATAGTATTTGTAGAAAAGAGAAAGAGAAGCAACATTACGACGATGTGACAAAGGTTGGAGATTGGCTGCCAGAGCAGGTCCAACTATGTTTACAATTCGTTTTTGCACCTTGTCTAAAAGAGAAAGAGCATCATTAGAAGATCCGCCCCAGATGTGGCAACAGTATTCCATACAGGGACGGATTTGAGATTTATAGAGATAGAGAATAGAATCTGGAGTAAGAAAGTGTCGAGCTCGATAAAGAGATGCAACCTTAGCAGATGCTAATTTTGCAATGGATTTGATATACGGTTTAAAAGAAAGATCAGAAGTAAGAGTTAATCCTAGAAGATGAATGGTAGATGACTCATCTAGTACATTACCATTCATAAATATAGGAAGATCTAAATTATTACGATAACGATTGGCCGAATAAAATTGAGTTTTATCTGAATTAAAGTTCACCAGCCACTGTGAGCCCCATGCTGTAGCAGAAGTGAGATCCTTTTCAAGCTCAGATACCCCCTCCAAGCAATCAGAGAGTGTAGGCTTCTTATCATGACAAGAGTAAATGGTAGTGTCGTCAGCGAATAATGCCACCTTAGATGTGAGAATATCTGGAAGATCGTTAATGTAAATTAAAAAGAGTATAGGGCCAAGGATTGAACCTTGAGGAACCCCTGAAGTTACAGGATGTGAAGAAGAGTGTTGTCCATCGAGGACAACTTTTATACTACGATTGGAAAGAAAGGACTCAATAATCTTAAAGACGTTACCAGCTACACCATAAGAAGAAAGCTTATGGAGAAGACCAGCATGCCAAACTTTATCAAAAGCTTTAGAAATGTCAAGTGCGATAGCCTTAACCTCTCCACCTCTATCTAATGCACGGTAAAACCTATCGGTTATTACTGTTAGCACATCAGCTGTAGAACGAGAAGACCGAAATCCATATTGATGATCAGAAAGTAAGTTATTTGATTCAAGATGAGAGATTAAGTGTTTGTTGATTAAAGATTCAAAAACCTTGCTTATGACAGGAAGAAGACTAATGGGACGGTAGTTAGATGAATCAGATCGCTCTCCGGAATTTTTGAAAATAGGGATAACAGATGCTGCTTTCCAGCATGATGGAAAACAAGACTCTGATAAGCACTTGTTAAATAGTTTAGAAAGTATGGATGAAAGCTCCGGAGAACACCTCTGCAAGACTACAACAGGAATGTTGTCAGGACCACAAGCTGTTGAAGAGTCTAAGCAGGAAATTACTTTAGATACAGAAGCTGAAGTGATGCGAATGTCAAGCAAGGGATCAACCTGTTTGACGGCTATGTCAGGTAAAACGCAACTAGTGGAATCAAGAGATGATATTGATGAAAAGTTCTTAGCAAACAATTCAGCTTTGTCTTTAGGTGAGGTGACAAAGTCTGAACCATACAAGAGAGAAGGAATAACAGATTTGCCCTTATTATTGATACTGTTAAAGATTCTCCAGAAGTCTCGAGAACTTCATTCTTGTTAATCAATCATAAGTCTTAACAAAGGGCTCCAGGAAACAATGTAACACAAGCTTAAGCTTCACAAACAATGTAACACAAGAAAGGGTTCAAAGCAAAATTGGTCAACCAAAATTTTCTGCTTGTTTCTTAAATCTAGACACTTTTGGAGCATGATAGCACAGAGAGGTGGTAAATCAATAAAGTCCCCAAATCAGGCTATTTTGTCCATGAAAACCAAAGATGATTTTATTTTTAATTATGTTCAATATTTTCAAATTCAATTTTAAATTACTAGCATATTTATGCTTTTAAAAACTTTTTTCTATTTGTTATGAACATATTGCATTTTGTTTTGAATTTAAATTAAATTTTTTCTAAATAATAATTTATCTGGGAAAAGGCAACCATGAACATTGTTTAAAAGCTTTACATGTTGACTTGAAGTCATGACAAATGCATTAAATTTTTCCTTCAAATTAATAAAAACCTCAACAGTTTTTCTAAAATGGAAAAACAATGTTTGACATGTTTTTTCATCATTATTTGAGGTTTAAAAAATCTTATTCAAATATAAAGTTAGAAACTTGTTTAATATTTAAGACCCCTAAAAATAATTATAGCCTAATAAAAGTATGAAATGCTTAAATGTAAAAATATAGAAGACCTTCCAAACATAAAAAGTTTTTTCCAGCTGCTTTAAGTGCTTGAAATCTCTTTGAAGTTGAAAACTTCAAAGAGATTTTTTTTTTTTTCAGGTTTTCAACTTCAAAATAAATTATTGAAATCACAAAACAAAACCATGTTCTTAAAGTTAGAATGGAGTTTTTAATTTATTGTAAGTCTCTTACTGTAAAGTTTTTATCTTAAAGACACAAAGTAAATCTGCTTTATTTAAGATAAATATTTTTTTTTTCTTTTCCTCTATTTTCCACAAAATGCTCAAAGAGTTTATTTTAATTATTAATCTTTATTAAAAGACAAATGATAATTGCTATCAGTTAAACAGGTTCTAAACATTTTGATTCTTGAAAGGTTGACCTCTGGTGACTTTCCAACATTGCATGTGATCTCATTCCAGTGTTCTGTATTTGTGTTCTGTAGAATAGTGTTTTATATTTGTGTTCTGCAGAACAGTGTTTGGTATTTGTGTTCTGTAGAACAGTGTTCTGTATTTTACTGAAGCCATGCTAAGATTTTGATTATGTTTTAAAAAATAATTTAAATTTCTTTTAAATTGAAAAAAAAACAACTTTAAATTAAAAAGTTATTTACTAATTTATTTAGAAGATTTTATTCTAAAGATTGTTACTTACTGAGGTTACTTAGTGATGTTACGTCACTGACTTCAAACTCTCTAAACTCAGAGTTGTTTAAAAATCTTTGTCATGTTACATTTTCTTTAGTCAAGTTTCCTTTTATTCTTTGTTCTTGTATTTGGTGTAAGCCAAAGAGATTAGTAGAATCCAAAGATTTCATTATGGCTGTTGCTGAATGTTTTGATCACTCTGCTGTTCTCAGCCAAATTAGACTCTTGTTCCAGATTAGAGGCTCTTGAATAAGTGACATTCCATAGATTTATGTTCATACATTTTGAAAGTCCCTTGCTCCTCTGATGTTAACTTCTGAGGCCTCAAAAGCTTTTTGATCATTACAAGTAGACCTTAAAGTTCAATTCAAACAGCTCTTTTGTGGTAAGTGTGCCGAAAATGACCACAAAAGCTTTTACAAAATGTTAACTTGGTTTATAAAGTGTTTGATAACCATGCTTGCTTCTTGGTAATTTCATTTTTTGCAACTCTAAAAATTTAATGAAGTGGTTCATGCCTGATTTGGAAAAGGTCTAGAACATAACTATTCCTTAAAGGTTGATGAATTTATATGCTATGTTTTTATTTTCCATTCACTTTGTACATACCTGCTCACTTGGAATGTATTTGGAGCAAGCAACTAAATCAACACACAACTTCAATTCACGGTATCGTTAACAACTTCAACATCAATTAATCTGATTGTCAAGAAATCTTTTGACCATTCTTTCATGTACTTCTGCTTAGCACCTCTTCACGTTTCTCTTTGTTTGTTTTTTTCCTATTTTCTCGTTTTTTATCGTACTCCTTCTCAAGACTGCACATGCACAATTTCTAATCCCTTTCTTTACCCTTCTGCCAATATTGTTGTTATTGGTGACTTTAATGCTCATTACACTGATTGGCTTGGCTCTAACACCACTTACCCTGCTGGCACTAAAACCCCTGTCTTCTGTATTTCTTAATCTCTTCTTTTTCTCAAACTTTGATAATTAACTTTGTGACTTGTTTTTTAGACAACCCCAATCACTTATCTTTACTCCTTGATTTGTGTTTCTGACCATAGCTTGTGTTCAATTTCTCCTGCACAGATTTTAAAAACCTCTTTAAAATCACACGTTGAGTACCAACGTGTGTGATTTTAATTTGTGTGATTACTTGACTTTATTGATCACTCTCAAATCAAAATAGAGTTGATTATTTTATATATATATATATATATATATATATATATATATATATATATATATATATATATATATATATATATATATATATATATATATATATATATATATATATATATATATATATATATATATATATATATAGATATATATATATATACATATATATATATATATATATATATATAGAGTTGTCAAAAAAGAGTTGATTATTTTATATATATATATAATATATATATATATATATATATATATATATATATATATATATATATATATATATATATATATATATATATATATATATATATATATATATATATATATATATATATATATACATATATATATATATATATATATATATATATATATATATATATATATATATATATATATATATATATATATATATATATATATATATATATATATATATATATATATATATATATAGAGTTGTCAAAAAAGAGTTGATTATTTTATATATATATATAATATATATATATATATATATATATATATATATATATATATATATATATATATATATATATATATATATATATATATATATATATATATTAGTAGAAAATTGATTTTCTATTAATTTATAATTGCTCTGTTCTTTTAAGAACATTGAGCACTCTATTTTGTAGAATACATTTTTTAAAATTGTTTATATATATATATATATATATATATATATATATATATATATATATATATATATATATATATGTTTATATAGCGTTATATTAGCATATAACGAGTATATGATTTTTAGGTGTTATATGTTAATGTTATAAACTAAAGTTCAGTAAATTTCTTTTAGAAAAAAAATTTTTAATCTTCTTCATCTTACTCAAACATTGCTACACATGGTCCAAATGACTCTTTCATACATGCTTATGCTTGCTGTTATGACTTACAATGCATGGTTATTAATTGCAATACTTATAGGAAGTGCTATTGGCTACTTTATCTTTGCTCATAAAAAACTTCAGCGACAACTTGTAAAAATTCCTAGTTTTCCTGATGCTATTCGGGTTTAAAAGTTGCTGATGTTGGTGTTGACGAAGAAGCTTTAACGTCGACAACGAGCTTTAACGTTGACGAAGCTTTAACGTTAAAATGTTAATTTGTTGATGTTAACGGAGAAACTTTGACGTTGAAATGTTGACTTTTTAAATAGTTATTAAATACAATTTTTTAAATGAATTTTTATTTTTAAAGAATTTTTTTAGTGTAATAGTTACTATTGTTATTTTTTTCACCGCCCAATGTGTAAATATTATTGTGAAGAAAAAAAATTTAATTATTTTTATAGGTTATAACTTTTAATAAACTAGAATATAAATTTTAATAAACAAAAATTTAATTAAATTAAATAATTTATATATTCAATTTGATAATTTATTTAAAGAAAATATTATGTAATTTGTTAAATAATTTGTAATAATTAATTTAATAAAATCAAATAATTTACATATTAAATTTAATTTAGTTAAGTTTAATGTTTTAGTAGCCATTTTACTTAATGAAAAATGTAGCCATTTTACTTAGGGTATAAAAAAAATTTTTTTTGGGAGGGGAGGGAGGTTATTACTTTTTTTTGTAATTATTAGCAATCCTAATTGTTATTTGTGAAAAAAATATTTAAAGGATTTTTTGGCCCCCTTTTACAAATGGTCAATTCATAAAAAGGGGCCGAGTTCAATTATTCTAAACAAAAATAGTAATTTAAACTAAATTAGTATAAAGTTGTGATATAATTTTTGGTTTATTCATGGTCAAAAAAAAATTTACAAATTGTTGACAAAGAACGGTACACCAGGCCTCTCTGTTATGAAAATACAGTTTTTTACTTTTCAAAGAATTCCATAATTTTACAACACGTGAAAAAGTTTGTGAAAAAGTTGTTTCTTTCAGCGCAGTTTCGGACAAGTTGTGCTTTTAAATTTTATATTTCAAAATTAAAAAAGGTTTAATAAAATTTTTAAAAATGGTCTTCAGGTTTCCCAAAAGCATTAAAAGGGGGCCAAAAACTCTTTTTTTTTTTTTTTTTTTTTTTTTATAAATATAACCTGTGGAGATCCGCAAGGTTCAATCCTTTAATCATTTTTTTAATCTGTATAAACTATCTAAGTAAAGGTACTAATCTGATGAGAATCATGTTCGCTGATGATACTAATTTATTTATTTCTAAGAGTTATATTAACGACCGTAAATAAAGAACTTAAACTTTTATCACATTTCAAATCCAATAAATTAACATTAAATTACTGACAAAACTAAATCTTTTTCGTTCGCTTAGGAAAAAAATTTTACCCTCAAGCTTACCTCAAATTTTTATTGATGAAATTGAAATAAAAAGAGAATCCGTTATTAAATTTTTAGATGTTTGTCTCGACGAGAACATTACTTGAAATCAAGCATATTAATTATGTTTGCACTGAAGTCTCCAAAAACATTAGAGTTTTAAACAAAGCTCAAACTTATCATAATAAGAAAAACTTAAGACAACTTTATTTCTCATTTGTTTACTGCTACATAAACTATGCTAATATTGCCTGAGAAAGTATTTCAAAAAGTAAATTGCATCGTCTTTATCGCTGTCAGAAACAAGCAATTCGCATAATTAACTTTGCTGATTGATTTTCTCATTGAAAACCTTATTTTATTGAAATGTAGGTTTTAAATATATTTGAACTCACGTTTTGAAAATTTTATGCTTTCTTTATATGTGGAAAAACAATCTATTCCTCCCCCCCCCCCCTCCTTCCTCCTCAGTCTTTAAATTTCTTTTCAGTTTAAAATTTAGCAACAAATACACTTAATCCATTTGGTCTTTCTGGTCTATCGTGCACCGCACTTATCGTGCACCCCACCTATCGTGCATCGCACCTATCGTGCATCGCACCTATCGTGCACCAATGAAATAAACTTGTTTTACCAAATTTTGATTTTGATCGACTAAATTCTTTTGTCTTTTTAAAAACAAATTTAAAAAATTTGAAAATTTAATTCTTTCCATCGATAAACTTTTACAGTATTACTAATATTACTTTACAGTGTTATTTTATCTATTTAACTTTATTTTTGGACTTTTATTATTTTTCTCTAAAGTTTTGTAGTTATGTTGTTTACTACCATTGATAGTGTTTTTATATTATTATTATTATTCATATTATTTTGTTGTATATATTTTTTTAATATTCGTATTACTTTGTTTACAGTTTTGCTTAGGTAAAAGTTTCTATAAATACATTCTACTTTATATTTAAATTTATATTAATTATATTTAAATTTATATTATTTATAGCAAGTTTAAGAAGTATATATATTTATTTTTTTATGCGAAGCTTTACAAAAAAAAATTTATAATAGCTTTTAATAAAAGAAGAGAAGTTTTGTTGTTGTGGTTAGAGTTCTGGCTTCGGAACTGGAGATTTAGTCAGATCTGAAATATTTGTTAGAAAACAGGCGTAAACTTCCAAATTAAAAGCTATTCCGATATGCGCTCATTATAAGACCAATAGAACCTCTTTGAGCACCTAAACAACTAATAAAAAAAGGAGATAATATTTCTTTGGCAATGAAAAAAAAATTTTAATGAAAATTAGAATCATAAGGGCCAGGGAGCAGTGCCAGCCCTCTCCCCACCTCACTTTTTTTCTGAAGAACCTTGTTTTTTTCTTTCAGAAATTTTTCGAAATAGAAGACTGTTTTTAGAAATTGACGATTGTTCTCTCTTTCCACCCCACCCCCCCTTCCTTATCCCCCTTCTTCAAAACCCGTTGGCAGTCGTTGGCCCTGGTGTAAGTCAACGTTTCCTTAATTTAAGATTTTTTGGGTTTTAATTGATTTACTGTAAAAAATATATAAAAAAAAATTTCATTATATAAACTCACATTATACTAAGGTGCAGGGCTGGACTGGGCCGCCGGGACACCGGGACGATTCCCGGTGGGCCGCCTGGTTTTTAGCAGGTTGTTTTGATTTGCTTTTGACTTCAAACTCGATTTATGGCTAGCGATAATTATGCGATACCATCCGCAGTGAGATATTTCGTATTTTTAATGATTGCATTTTGTAAAGTGAATCTTTTGAAGTAACAGGTCGTGTAACGGTGAAAACGGCATTTGAAAACAGTGTGTGAAACTACGTGTAGCATAAAGTGAAAAGTTGATGATTGCGTATTCGGGAAGCGGGAGCGATCGGAGCGATCGTTGACCACGGAAATAATATTTAGTTGCGAAAAACTGGCCAGATTTTTTAGTTGTTTTGAGAACATTTCATTTTATGTTATAAAGTAGTTATAAAAAATAGTTATAAAAAATAGTTATAAAGTTAAAATGTAAACTTAAATGGGCCTCTAATATTATAGTCTTCTCCTTACGTATATATTTGATAAGATGAGTGAAGATTTGAAGCGGAAAAGTAAAGGCGGGGCAGAAAAGCAACGTGAAAAGAAAAGCTTCTTCTTCAAGGGGGAGAAAAGTGTAAAAAGATAACCAAACTTTTTAGACTAAGTACTCCCACCCAATTTGGTGGTGATACTCTGGTTGATGATTTAGGTTCTCAAATTTCTGACGGCGATCAAGCCGGTCCTGCCGTCTCAGCCTCCGTAAGCTGCACTGTCCTAACTCCATCCCAGAAATCTGTATCCTCTGACTCCCGGCCTCAGAATCAGTGTTCGGAAATTTTCATGCGTCCACAATCGCAGTGCCTTAAATCATTTTTCAAGAGTCATCCGGTTCAACCAAAAGAGGATGGGGAAAATTTACCATTTTCAAATGTTCGTCGAATGTTTTATAGAAGCCAAGACGATATCAATAGGGTTTGGCTTTCTTACTGTCACAGTTCGAAGGCCATGTTTTGCACAGTGTGTCTGGCCTACAGCAAAGCTAGTGAATCCAATGCATTTACTGATGGCATGAATGATTGGAAGCATGTTCACCAACGAATCGAAGAACACGAATCGAGTAAACACCATTGCAGGAGTGTGGAGGCACACATTATGTCGAGCAATGACAAGGACGTATATAGCTTGCTTTTTTCAAATCAAAAAAATGTGAGAGCTGCTCAAGTTAAAGAAAAACGGCAAGTTCTAGAACGTGTGAAATTGTTAAACTTATTGGAAAGCGAGGACTTAGTTACAGATCTATCAATGACGCAGCCTACTGTCTGGACAATGTCAATATTGACCACGGGAACTTTTTAGAAAATTTTAATCCTTCTGTCTAAATTTGACCCGCTTATGAAAAATCATCTTGACATCGTGACGGAGAAAAGTAAGCAACGACATGTCACGTGCGCGGCATCAGGAACGAAGGGACAAGGAGGGTTAGTAACATTTATTTCAAGCACTACTGTCAATTACGTAATTGAATCTGTTCGCCGTATAATTAAGGCATCGATTGCAGATGAGATTCAATCGGCAGGAATGTTCTCCGTGCAACTAGACATAACGCAAGATGTTAGCGCAAAGGATCAATGCTCGATTGTAATCCGATATGTTAAAGACCATATTTACAAGCGACTGGTATCCGTCAGCAATTGTACTAATTCGACAGGGAAGGGTATGTTCGAGCTGTTCCGGGATGAAATTGTCAAAATGGGCATAAACATTGAAAACTGTGTGGGAAACTCTACAGACGGGGCGGCAAACATGCAGGGCCAATATTCCGGTTTCACAAAATGGCTCAGTGAGGCATCCCCAAACCAAGTGCATGTGTGGTGTTACGCTCATGTATTGAATCTTGTTCTTGTTGATACCACACAAACCACCAAAGCTGCTATCAGTATATTTCAGCTTATAAACAAATGTGCTGTTTTCTTGCGCGAATCATATATACGAATGGACATATGGGCGTCAAAACAATCAAACAATAGAAGACTAAATGTAATTGGCGAGACACGCTGGTGGGCAAAGGACCATGCATTATAAAAAATATTTGAAAGCTTCAACAACCCATCGACGTCCTTGTATATTGAGCTAATTGAAACTTTACAAGAGTTAGCCTCCTCTGAAGAATTTAACCCAACTGTTTGCGACACCGCCCAAACCCTATTAGATAAGTGCATCTCATTTGAAACAATTCTTACCGTTCAAGTTTTTTTGCGTATATTCCAACACACAGCATCACTTTCCAAGTACCTGCAAACAAGTGGGATGGACATGCTCCAAGTCTACCGAAACGTTGACTGCACTATCAAGGCACTGCGAGACGTGTCCAGAGACTTTGA